AAGCTACTGCCCTCTGGTTCCTGCCTCAGACAACCACCAGCCACAACTAACATATAGTTCATACCCTCATACCCCCATTTTATAGGTATAGTCATGTATGGGTGGGTTTGTCTTTCTATCTGTATGTCTCACCCTGTGTTACTGTTGCTGGTGTTTTTTTTTTACTGCTACTGCACCAAAATCCCCCGGGGAGAAATACAGTGGGGGGGAAATAAGTATTTTTCTTCAGTAATGGAGTCTTCCAGGGTGATTGTGCATGGAGCCTGTGGCGGTGGAGTGCATTGTCTTCACTGTGACGACTGTACACCCTGCTTCCAGCCCCCTTTGACTGGTTCTTGGGTTCTTCTGACCAACTTTCTCACCGGCCGGTCAGAAACCTTACGATTAGCTCCTCTGCTCTGACAGTGGAGTGATGGTCCTTCCACCTGCCGATAATGGCCCCAGTGGTGCTAACCAGTAACCGGTGCCACTGCTCTGGTGCTTAACAATGTTGTGTTGTGGAAAAAGCTCTTTGCCTTTAATGAGATGTTTCTTGCAGGGCAGTTTGGTGTAGCTAATAATTGCATTCAGAGGTGGGTAACCCGTTTGGAGGAAGTACTAACCAGCCAACAAGCATTAACCCAGCTGAATCTAATTAGCTCAGGTAGGAGAATTAATGAGTTGAATCAGCCGCTGTGTAGTTTTATTGGATAATACCAACATCTGGTCTAAATTTCACATGAATAGCTGCAATGTAATGCTCAATCATCAAAATGATTCAACAAATGTGTGTGTTGTGACACGTTGATGTACATCTGCCAGAGAATCACTGGGTTTGTGCTCACTAGGGAGGTTTGCTGTCAGCTTCTAACTAGCTCACAGCCACGGAAAAAGAAGAAAAGCCACATTTCCTGATCAAATTATTTTAGAAAAAAAGAAATATTCCCTCCCTGCGAGAGGCATTTAACGGCTGACTCCACAGCCGCATTCAGAAAGGGGCATTGAAAGTGTTGTTCCTTTTCTGCTCAGTGGCAAAAGATGAATTGTGATCCAAAGAGAGATTTGATACGGTTCTCCGGGATTAAAGTGACAATTTGGATTATCAGTCTGACTGAGTTACACACACTTTGACACTTTGCCTTGTCAAACTCACTCAGAGCAGATTGGCACAATCAAGTGTGTCTGCAGCCAAGCCTTTTCAAAAGGTTAATATTTCAGTTCCCATTTGCCTCAAAGCTTTACGCTAAGCCACCGCTCTGCTCCCGCGTCTATCTGCCTGCGATACGGGAATCCCCGCTGAAGGTCTGCATTCGACAAACAAGCGTCTGTGCTTGCGATAATCCACACCGTGCCACGCTTACAACTGCGATGATAGCTACGCCTGTCATGCTGCCGAGTCAGTGTGTTTGTCTCCCCTCGAATAGGTCTGAGAGAGGTGCAGAGATGAGCCGAGCATTGTGGGATGGAAAGGATGTCTGGGTTGTTTTTTCACTGTGATTGGCTCCAGTCTGAGTATACGTGAGGTTCAATGTATCAGCGCCGCTCCGCTCCGCTGCCTGGTCTGGGGATTGATTGATTGATTCCTGTCACGGGGTGAGCGGAGTTCTCGCGCCGACAAAGCCCCTCTGAGCTTTGGAGAAATTTATGGTCCAACAGTTATGAAGCGTGATGTAGGATGAATTTAAAGGCTGAGGAGATGCAAAGCCTCCATCCAGACTTCTGCTTCCTGCAGGATGATAGCTGCCAGTCACGCTCTGAAGTGGAGGACGGTTGTTTATGTCAGATTGACCCACAGGAACTCACTTCTTCTTATGTTTGCCAGGTAGTTTCACAAGCTCCCAAAATACTATAAGAAAAACCCTCTGGTGATAGAGAGGCAGAAACCAGGAGTTGCTGCTGGTTTTTGCATGTTTTTATTTAGCTGTATATTTCAGATTGATTTCCCGCTCTTCAGGCAGTCCAGGCTTTCCATTAGTTTCTGTGCAGAATAAAAAAATCAACTTGCAGAGACTTTGCTCCTGTTGGGTAATCCATCACATTTTGTTGCCTTAATTAATTTTGTTAAAGCTGCACTGTCATTGCAAGTGTTTTAATAATGATGCAACCTTAAAGGGACAGTTCACCCCCAAACCAAAAATACATATTTCTTCCTCTTAGCTGTAGTGCTGTTTATTCATCTCGATTGTTTTGGTGTAAGTTGCTGAGTTTTGGAGATATCGACCTTCTCTCCAATATAATGGAACCAGATGGCACTGTGGAGCTAAAAGCGTCAAAAAAATACATCTGAAAAACTCAACAGCAACGTCTCTTAACAGGATTCAAGACCCGGTTACTCCGGGTAATCCACAGACCTTGTTGTGAGCAGTTTTATGCAGGAATTATTTGCTTTCTAAGCTTCCTTATGCGTAGTGATACATAGACAGTGTATCTCTCCCTTCTAAGACGATCCGATAGGTATCAAGATTCAGGGACGATGCATTTTAATGCAATCTAATAACAATCTGAACATTAGTTTAATGTAGACATTTATTTTACATTCTATTAAAATAAGTTAATTATATAGAAGTGACATTGTTCACCTTCAAAAAGATATATTTGTATATAAAATAAAGACTTTCTTTCTGCAGTGATTACCTCAGCGCTCGCCCAGTTGTGGCTGGAAAATACAGCACATTTCTTACAGAAAGTACTTTACAGAGTTTCACAAACAAAACAAGAAACAAATGTTAAAACAATAAAATCAGGCAGACAAACACTGAAAGAAAGTAATAAATGACAGTAATTGAAAGCGATGGTTTAAAAGCAGTCAGGATTGTTTCTTCTGGCAGTTTGTTTCACATTTTAACAGCACAGAAACTAAAAGCAGCTTCTCCTCTTAGCTTAGTTTTAACTCTGGGAACAGCCGGTAATCCAGAACCGGCCGACCTCAGAGGTCTGTAGGGTTCATACTGCGTCAGGAGAGCTGATCGGTATCTTGGACCTAAACCTTTCAGACTCTTACAGACAAGCAGCAGAATTTTTTTAAGTTGATTCTGTGAGAAACTCGTAGCCGACATATTGTTCTGAGAACTGGAGTTACATGCTGAGCTTTTTTTGGTCTTTGTTACAACCCTGGCAGCAGACAGAGACCATTGCAGAACTCCAGCCTGTTCAATAACCTGCGTGTTCTTGCTTGTGCTAGCTGTATTAGCACCCACAGACTCCTCGTCGCCTGCATAGGTGTTACCGTCTCACCAGGTCAGTGTTAAGATCTGTCACTGGACTTACCTGCTGTCTGACAGATCTTACAAATAGACAGACTTTTGTCCAACTTTCCTTCCTTCTAATAGAATCCAAATGTCTTCCAAAACTTTAGATTTCCACACTGACAGACCGCCATCAAGCATGACTAATAATAATATATATATTTTAGGACATCTGTGATTTGAGACTGCCAGAAAGCAGTTAGAGACTTTGTGAAAGGGATGAAATCAATCGCGTCGCCTGGCACCAATCTGCAGCTATGAAATATAAAAATCTATATGTGTGAGATGTTTTGCCAGTTGACACTGTTATCATCATTTATAGCCTCGAGTTCAGGATCTCCTGAACTGCGATCAATTTTTACTCAGCCGTCGTTGACTTTTGATCATTTACTCATAAAGGTCTGGATGGGAACAAAGCTGCCGGGCATTTCTGAAAAATAGAGCGGGTCATTGATCGACGCTAAGGTCAGGTCTGATTGATCGGAGCCTAAAAGTAAAATATATTTTTTATTACACCACCTGGAAAATAGCTTGGCACTATAACTTCCTATATAAAGACTGTGATGGACAGCAGGGAAAACAATCTGCTTTTAGAGCTCATATATTATTCTATACTGTAAAAGCTTCAGTGCTGCACTCAGCTCGCTGGTTTTATATCTGAAAGTATGAAATTACACCAAAAGATAAATAGATGTTGGGTTTTAACAGAATAGTACAAACTTTTCACTGTAAATTTACAGTAATTAACTTTATTTTTCCGGTTTCTTACTGTATCTTAGTATTACTGTGTATTACTAGGAAAAAAAAATGCTGTTTTTTTGTAAATTTTTTTTTTTATTATTAACTTTTTTATTTGAAACTATCAATCGCACAGATTAAATTCCAAATATTCCACTTTTTATATTAAGCCATTTTAA